CAAGAAGGTGGAGAAGTGACGGTACCCTGGGGCCTGAGCCTTCCTTCGGAGCACGTGTATGGTATCCAGACACGCACCTTATGGCAGTGGGAAGTGGCTTACTACTTTTGCACACAAACACCCACCCAACCACAAGAACGAAGCCTTACATTTGGTCTTTCTTACTTCCGACCTGTGTCCCGAGTTCCCCAGGGGTGCAGCCAGTTTGGGGATGGCTGAGCTGTGAGAGCCGAGGCCTCAGGAGCAGGCTTCTCTCTCCTGGCTGTCCTCCCCTTCTTCTCAATTTGAAATGCAAATTCAGCAACTCTTGTTCCTCTTCCCACATTTTACATCTTCCATTTTTATCAATTGTTTTTTAATTAAAAGGAAACCCTTTTTTAAAAGATCATTTGGGCTCTTTGGGGGCCAATTTGCTTAGGGGAAAAAAAAGTCTTTTAAATATTCATGGTGAAATACTGTTAGATGACTTCTGTTGCTGGGATTTCTTTTGAAGGTGGTTTCAGATTTATGAAATTTTTAGCGTGGCCATGTTTCTGCATGGTGGCCAATAATAGCTTCAGGGGGCATAGAGACCAACCTGACTGACCTTGTCTTTATCTCTGATTTTGAAGGGTCAGGATGCCCCTTGGATGGCAGTGGAGGGAACGGGGTGGCGTGACATCCTTCCTGACCATGTTCGCTCCCTCCCTCCGCTGTAGTGCCGAGGAAGGGGCTTCCTGGTGGCCTGGCCTGCTCGTTGTTGCTGGGTGGGTCGGATGCTGTGCTCACTCTCTGTAGACAAGAACACTGGATGATGATGATGAGATGAATGTAGATAGACGTGGGAACACGTTCACAGTGTCATTTGAGCTGTGTCCTTCCATTGCCCCCTTCCCTCTCCATACGAGGAGGCTGGTTGGAGAGGCCGACACATGTCCTTGGAGAACTGTGTGTGTAAATTAATTGGCTTCTTGTTTGATGTAAGGACGGGTCCCTTTGGTCTCACCACGAACTGTTTACTTTCTGTGTGTGTATTTGTACAAAACCTGGGTTCTGGGAGCCATATGGCGACTTCACCACAGCTCTGTGTTAGCTCCTCCGATCAGTATGCATCCTGTTCCTCAGGGCAGGCCCAGACCCTCAGGCCCTCTTGGGGATGCCCGGTATTGGAAGGACACAGATCATCTCAAATGGGGATCCCATGTCCCTTCCCAGGGTCCACTCAGAGCTCCCCCCTCAGACCCCCTAGAAGGCCCTGCTGTCCTACATCTTGGCCCCTTGCCTTGAATTGTGACATTTCTTCTCTTCCCACTGGTTGGGAAGGTCAGACTATTTTAGGCCAGTGGCATGTTCTCCAGGAGTTCTGACCAGGAAATTCCCCAGTAGTTAGAAGTTCTTGAAAACAATACTTTTATGGACCTGACTTTGGGGGCCAAATGCCTAAGAGGAAAAGGAAACAGTTTAGAACTCAAACTGAATGCATCATACCAGAAACCTGGAAACATGAATGAATCACACAGGGTAGTCATAAAACCCTGTGGCTTAAATATTGGCTACCTTAAAATGCAGAAACAACAGAAACAATCTGTGAATTGTCTTTATACAGCTGACAAGGACCTCGGTTCCAGTGGCTGTAGGACAGCATTTTGCCTGCACCCAGCAGGTTTGTTTGTTTTAATATATATGACAGGATTTTGAACAATGTTTACGTGTTGACCTAGCTTTATTAAATTTGCTTTTAAATGTCATTTACAGATTGTTTCTGTTGAAACTGCAGTCCTAAATTATTGAAATTTAGAAATGCACAGGGATTGAATGACTCTCCCACCCACCCACACGTGCACTCACACATTTCTTATTAAAAAACAAGTGAGTGATGGGGACCTACATAAACAACTTCAACTTCTTTGTGCCTGGAAAGAAGAAGGGACTGGAGCAGCCAGGAGGTTCACCCCACGCCCCCTCACCTGCGCCTTTCTCTATGCCTTAGTCTCCCAAACACACAAATGCACACATGCACACATGCATGCATATACACACATGCACACACACGCCCTACCCCCTACCCAAAGATGGCAGTGGCACTGGCCGCCAGCCCTGCTGGTTGGAGAGTGCCGAGGAATTCGTTCTGGTCTCTAGGATGTATCCGAAAGGATTCCAAGCCATGTGAAAATTGTCCTGCTTTCCAGAGGGTGGAATGTGACCCTGCAACTTCAGAAGCACAATCATTTTTTAAAATCCTATGTACCCACGTTAAAGAAATCAACAGGTTCTAGGTTCTAAGAATGAACTATGTCTCCGTAACCTAGATCATGTTTTTGGAAACTGTATTTGGGTGGTTTCCTTTTATACCTTTCCTGTGTAGGGCTTCTTCCCCGCTCGCCCGCGCCCCCCCTCCCCCCAATCTTAGTGTCCCTTTCAGTGAAGAGAGGTGGCCACACTCTGGGAGCTGTTTGCTGTCCCTCCGGACTGTTGGCAGGAAGCGAATGCAGGCCCTGTGGCCTGTATGGTGCCCTCAGTTCCCCAGCCATGCATGTGGGCTCAGGGGCAGTTTTTACATGAAGCAATATAAGTACAAACTACTTATTTTTTTTTGAAATGTAATGTTTTCCATAAAATCTGTTGGCAAATCCCTTCCCCCTATCTAAATTTTTTGGTTTTCACTTGTTTTTCGGGGTGTTCTTTTGCCTTGTATCTGGAGAAGTAAAGAATTAGCACAGACACATTCTGATATTAAGTGAAATAGCAAGTCACGTTAGGTGGTAGTGTCCCTCGTGTTCTGTGTTAGGAACTTTTAAAAGAATGTATGAAGGTAGTCCTGAATGTACTATGTGTTCTAATCCTGCTTCAGTTCACTTTGGCTGTGTCTACATGACAGCAGCCATTTGACAGGGAATAAAGTCGTGTCTTGTGTCGAGGGTGTTAGTGTGCCCCTCCCCATTCTGTGTCAGCCCTGAACCTTCCTTTCTGTAAGTTGAGGGGGAGGGGTATCATGTCAGCTGCAATCATCAACCCACCAATGGGATCTACTGAGTGATGAATGGATTAGCTGTTTAAATGGTAAGAGTCACTGGCCTGACCAGACCACAGCATGGCACCAGGTTCTTGTAGAAATGGCCTGTTTCCTCCTTTCCCCAAAACGTTTGCCTCTTGCCTGATGGGGGAGGGGGGTTCTCAAGATCCCTGATTGGAGCCCATTGCACTCTCTCCCTGCCTGTGTAGCTAGGTGATATGAAGTGGGGCTGGAGGCCAAGGGCTGTTACTGCCATTTAGAAATACTTGCCTCGCGTAGATCCAGCCTTAATGTTTTTCTGACATCCTAGTGATAGCAGACCCTGCACAAAGTGGATATCAGAGTTAATACTGTGAGGAGACAAAATAATGAGCATAGTTTTACCAAAGATAATGAACTATCACATAATGTCTGCATCTTACCATTGATTTGAGTGCATCCTTAGAAAACTGAATGTAACAAAAACCCAGGACCTTTTTGGAAATTGTATGCTCTCTAGCAACTTTGTGTGAATTTTTATACAAGCACTGTTTTATGAGTTATATAAAATGTTTAAAAATAGAAAAAATATGGTCTCGTAACATCTTATTTCCTTAGGGAAGACGTTTCTTGGTCTGTTTGTCTTTCTCTGCGGCCTCCTCACTGCTGGGGGGGGTGGGGTGGTGGGCGGGCATGAATGCTTGGGGCACCCCAGCCTCTGGGGCTTCCACACTTGGGGTGTCGGGGTGGTAGCTCACAGGATTTCAGTTTGTCACAGCTGAATGACTGAGAAGTCATGCCAGAAGCCGGTCCATCCTTGCTGCTTGACACAGTCGCTGCAGGAAAGAAACATCTGCACAGCATATGTTTCAAGGGACCTGGCTTATATAGCATACTGTTCTTAATATGTTTGCTCCCCTTAGCACTATGTGTTTTAACCAAGGTCACCTCTCCCAGAAAGGTTGTTTCCCCAGCTAGGGATTTTTCCCTGAAGTTAGGGAGGGGATAAAACCCCTTAACTAAGTGCCAGGCGGGTAGTTAATCACTTTAACTACAAACAATCATGCTTAACCTACATAATCTTTACTCCCTGGAATGGAGATAAGAAACACCCTAACCTTTGCAATAGAAATTGACAGGATTAAAATCGACTGGTATAAATACAGATGTAACAAGACAATAAACACCAGAACTTGGCTGGAGATCCTGGCTAGAGATCCTGGCTAGGCTGCTGATCAACTGAACGCTGTCTCCGTGTCATTCCTTCATTGTCGACTCCGTCCGCACC